TATACAATTTTCTAATAGTACAAGATCCCACTGCAGGATCACTACGTTCATAACATAACGTATTTCATCAAAGTCACTTTCTTACATACATTTAAAATTAAGGGAAAACATTGGTATTAGGTTACCACTCAAAAGTGACCGGAAGTATTTTTTTAATTCAATTAATAGTAATTAGTTTTTGACAAATATTTTATTTCGCTTATTTATTTTTTAAATAAAATACGCTGCTCGTGACGTATATGCATGGTTTTAAATCAAATTAAAGCTAATTTTTATCGTAATATAAATCCAAAAAAAAATCCGAAAAATAGTAGGGTTGCCAGCTGTGAAAAACGCGAGGTATCAAAAATAAAATAAAATATAGTTAGGGCGCAACGACACTGGTTTGACATGTGATAATATATAAATATAAATATGATTATATATATATATATATATATATATATATATATATATATATATATAAATAAATATATATATATATAAATTATTTATATATATATATATATATATATATATATAAATTATTTATATATATATATATATATATATATATATATATATATATATATATATATATATATATATATATATATATATATATATATATAGCTATTCAGGATTTTTCCACAAAAGGATTTTTTTAAAACGTTTTCAGTCCTGTCGGACCATCGTCAGTAAAACATCTTAAGTAGTTACAACCAGCCACAAATCTAGTCAGAATAACCTTTACATTCCATGATAAACATATTGAATTTTAAAAATGTGTTGATACGTGTTCGATATTACGGGATGTCACTTAACGAAACATACAGATTCCCGTACGAAAAAGAACATTAGAATGCAACGATTGATACCAGGCAACTAGTATTTAGGTGTGTACAAACTACTGATGGTAAGATAGATATGTAAGAATTTTTTCTAGGATCTTTTTAATAACTAAAAAGTAATGCTAAAAAATTCTGACCCTATATGTATACCCAATTGGTCTCATTTAGTATAATTATGCCGCTTCTTTGATTGTTTTCTTTTTACCATCTGTTTCTTCTACACTTAAATCGTTCCATTGAACCCTATATTTATTTTACCATGCTTGTTTACATATTTGAGATATATCAAATTCTCTATTTTTAATATAAGATTAATGTTCACTTATTGTTACATTTAATGGCCTTGATGGTTCACCCAAAAAACTGATCGCATTCACAAGGTATTTTATAAATACAATTATTTGTTCTTTGTTGTTCATTGCTAGGTTTAGTTTTAGATAAAATAGATCTCAATGTGATTGTTGTTTTGAATTTTGTTGAACCGTCAAATTTATTTTCTATCTTTTAAGTTTTTCTGTTAGTTATTTTATTTATGGTATTGTTATTTTCCTCGTATTATTCGTTTTGTATGCTGTAGAATTTCTTTCTAAGTTGTTCTATTCTATTTAGTCCATTGTTGAAAATTCCTTATTTATAAACGATAAAGGATAGTCATTTGAACTCGGCATGAACCGAGCAAAACTAAAAGAAGATGGAGATATGCGAATTAGTAGAAATAAAAAAGAAACACTAACGCAATCAATGACAAAAAGATACAAAAAATCTAAATAAAATTTGATTCAATCTGATTTAAATAATAATAAATATAACACCATAAAACTAACATATCTCCACTTTACTTTTTTCGAAAACATCAACGATACATGCATATAAACATAATTTTATAATAATGCCAGTAAGCGATCAGATATCCATTTTTATTTTTTATCAATTATTCATTTATGTCAGTACCTCGTTATAGGTTTAGTAAGTTTTCATATATTTTACAATACCTTTTTGTTCTTAATATTCTACATTTTAGAATTTTGACAACGACAAGGATTACCTGCCAAAACGTTGATTTCAATGGTTCAATCTAGTTCCAAATTTAATATTACCTATTAAACCTAAACCCAAAAAATATAAATTTTATTTTATATTAAATATGGTATATTTCAAGAAGAAACTCAACAAAACAATATATATATATATATATATATATATATATATATATATATTATATATATATATATATTATATATATATATATATATATATATATATATATATATATATATATATTTATATATATACAGATTGAACGAAATAAATTCTGTAGGTGGTTGGCCAACAAAAGGTTGTCAAATAATTATATTATAAAAATCCAATACTTCAGCTTGCTGCTGGATTCTGAAATCATAAAAAAATCTACACATGAGCTAGTAGCCGAGACAGATAGTTGAACGATATTTTATACAATGTCTAAACCCAGGTATGGATTTATTTTTATCCAAGTTTTATATTGGTCCACTATTTCAAATGCAGTTCAAACTGACATATATTAAATTGTTTGATCCGTTTTAAATTCGTTCAATCTGTATATATAAATTTACATACTTGACTAGTCATAAATAATAGGTATGCTTTAATTAGGTAATAAAATAAATAATAAAATAAAAATACGTTTCAGTATTTTCAATTTCCACTTCTTAAATCGTTCTTAAAATAGATAACCAATTTAATTCCAATTAATGATATGAGAATATATTGATAACAAAGTACATCAGTTCTTTAGCATATTTACTTGGGACCTAAAATTAGAAAAGGAAAAGATAATCAAATCTTTGAGATTCGGTGCCCTAGAGGTTTGGAAAGGCAGCATTTGGTAAGATTTTGCGACATATTCTAAAAGGAGCGGTACCAATTTGCTTCAAGAAAAAATGTACATTCAATGTATGCTGCTAGGTGATAACATATGATACCGAAACATTAATATTAACTAAATAATCTGCTAGTATATAAGGAATAACCCAAAGAGCAACGAAAGATCAATGCTGAGGTTAACAAGAAGAGATACTAAAAAGGAAAGTAAGGAGTAGGACTAAAACAACAAATATAGAGATCTAAAGAAAATAAGAAACACCAAGGTAGACCATCAACAAGATGGATGGATGGATAGGATGCAGAAAGTACAGAATAGAGTTAACAGTTAAAGAAAATGGAGGAGACATATGTCCAAAAGTTGTTGTAACATATTTCTGTTTATTGTGTTTTATTTTGGCTTTAATCTTAGTTTATTGAGCCAATAAAAAATATATAACTTATTTGTTATCAAAAGTAAAATAAACTCCTTATATTACCTGTGGTCGATTAATTCAAAGATTTTCTAGTTGTCTTTTATCGGGATAGAGAAGAAGGACAAGAATAAAAAAAATATTATATTACAAACATTTACGTTTTTTTATTTTATATGAACGAATAAAACAATTATCAAATTCTGCCGTTATCTTATCAATCAGCATACAAGAAAATAAATCAAATTTTTATAATAATAAGATTTTAAATCTACATACATTTATATTAAGTGAAAACCAATTTTACTTAAATTTTTCTTTACTTGAAACAAGAAACAAAAAAACTTTAAACTTTTGATTAGCCTAACAAAACCCCAGTTCTTAAATTTGACTGCTAATGACCATGATGTCAAACAGATCCTTCACAGATATAAAATTTAATTGTACAAAACACTTACAGCTTATTTTCTTATTGAGTTGTATATTGGAACATACCGAGAAAAGTCCAGTCTCCTCAACGATGTGATCTTTTCTTTTTGGTACCTAGGCTCCTTCCTAACGTCTCTACAAACTTGCTGCACTAACCAAAAATACCTGATGCACTTTTCCAAAAACTCAGCTACTTATTAATGGCACAAGGACCTCCTTTTGTCAACTTGATGCCGTAAAACTTTTCACAAATCTTCACAAAATGCCCACGGTAGATACAAGGACTTCTTTTAATCTACTTGTTATCTGCTTCTCCAAAACTATTCAAATCTTTTCACAATGCTGGTATCCAACTCACGAACCACACCCTATCTTAAAACAAACGACTGTTTCCTTCGATGACCAGATTATCACTGCCACTCTCCGTCTCCTCATCAGGCTAACCCCATTACTACTCAAAAACGACTATCCAATCAAAAGTTCCAATCTTGTTTACCACTCTTAATAATTATTTTAAAAATTCTATGTATCATTTGGGAAAGCCAAATTACTGTTTCAGAAAAAAACTAAATAGCTTACTTTAAAATTGGTTTTGTCAATACACAATTTATAGATATTTCAAAAGATTAAAATATGGTCATTTAATACTCGATTATACAAACAATGAAAAGATTTACTCACAGGTAAAATGTCTTCTAATTCTAAACAAAGGTTTTTTGATAATTTTGTTTGAAACGGAAAAATGTCTGTTCTTATCTACACTAAATCTTATCTTAAATTACTATATACAATTTGTTTATATTGATATCGATTTATATGAATCGATGGATTTTTTTTATTTATTTTTCTTTGGTTGGGAAAGAAGAACCATAACCATATATATATATATATATATATATATATATATATATATATATATATATATATATATATATATATATATATATGCGTTTTGGCTTTTGTATCGCCTTAAAGCCTTTCGGTAGGAAATCGTTATTATTATTGAACAATATACGACTTTCTATATTTACCAGTAAATTCTGTTCTTTAATAAATTACTATTTAAAATCTATTACTTATAAAAATATTTTTTTACAGGAGTCACGAACGAACAGCCGATGATCAAGAAACTATTTATGAAGAACTTCTTCACATTCGGGCGTTAGCTCACTTATCCAACTCCGTGAAAAGAGAGTTGGCTTCGGTTATTGTTTTTGAAGCTCATCCGAAAGCAGGGACTGTGCGTAAGTATATGATCAAAAAAAGTAACAGAATATTGCTGTCAAATACAGTCTGAAAATAAGGAAATAAATAAATAAATAAATGGAAATAAGTATTAAAGCTAACAATAGAACATAAACTAATGAGGAAACTTTCATTTATTACCAATATTTTAAAAAACAACAAATTTGGTTTTTATTAATATTTTTATTTATATATGTTTTTTATGTATTACATGTTGTAGTATTTCACCAAGGCGACGAAGGCAGATCCTGGTATATTATTGTTAGAGGTTCTGTAGATGTTGTTATCCATGGAAAAGGGACAGTCAACACTCTACACGAAAGCGATGATTTTGGAAAACTCGCTCTGATAAATGATGCACCAAGGTAGGTTAAATTAATTCAAAGATTAAATATAAAATACCGGTAATTATATGAATATGAATATTATCATTTCAATGTTTCATTCATGTTTAGTATAATAATTTTATAGGAAAGTGTTAGTATATGTCACATTCTTACGGTAATTATATCAGTTGGTGTAATAAACTATAAAAAAAATTTGATTTGGTCCAGAACCGATTCAGCCAAAACCAAAATTCAAATTTATCATTAAGGTAAAATTAAGGCCTGATTAAATTACTTATACAATATGCATAGCTAGTAGCGATTTTGATTTTTGCTATGTTTTTGAAATATTTGTTCTTCTTCTTCTTCTTCACGTGCCATCTGCGCTACGAAGGTTGGCTATCATCATGGCAATTTTGACCCTGGAGGCTGCCGCTCGGAACAATTATTGTATGGAAGTGCAAGCAAACCACTCCCTGGGGTTTCTCAACCATGACATTCTTATCCTACCTATGCTGCGCCTACCTTCAATCTTTCCTTGCATAATTAGTTGTAACAGTTGATATTTATTCCCACGTGTAATATGTCCCAGGTATTGTAGTTTCCTCATTTTAACACTCAATACGACCTCCTTTTGTTTGTTCAACCTGTCTAATACAACTTGGTTAGTTATCTTATCCTTCCAGGAGATTTTTAACATTCTTCGGTATGCCCACATCTCAAATGCCTCCAGCTTACCCCATATAACAGGACTGAGAAAACATAACATTTAAGCATTCGTATTTTCACCTTTAGGCTTAGGTTTCGGCTACGCAACATTTGTTTCATATTGTTAAAGGCACTGCGGGCTTTCTCTATTCTTATTCTTATTTCTCTGGTGTATTCGTTTGACTCGTTAATATTTGTTCCGAGGTAATTGTAATTTTGTACTCGTTCAATGAGATTCTGTCCTACATGTAAGTTGATATTATTGATACGTTTCTTTGTAATTATCATGAATTTGGTCTTCTTTGTATTCAGTGATAGACCAAATTCTTCACTTGCTTCTACCACTTTGTTTAGTAATCTCTGTAGGTCGTCAATATTTTCTGCTATAAGCGCGGTATCATCAGCATATCGGATATTGCAAATGGGGTGACCGTTGATCTGTACTCCGGCTTTTTCGTTCATAAGAGCTTTTTTAATAAATTCTTCCGCGTAGACATTGAACAAGGTTGGAGACAACACACAGCCCTGCCGAACACCTATTTTGATCTGTATTCTATCTGATATCGAGCTGTTAATTCGTACTGTAGCTTCTTGTTAGTCATCGCCAATTACAAATAAAGATTTGTAACTATCTATGTTAGAGATCGAAAAATACCTTTAGTTTAGAAGAAGATATAAAGATTTAAGTTTTAGAGAAAAAATTAGAAAAATGTGAATAAAATGAACGTTATCCCAAAAATGTAAATACCTATATTATATAATGTTTATTGCTACCTACGAAGCATGCCAAATCAAGGTACATAAAATCACGTGAAATACATGAAGATATACTTCTTTAATTTTGTCTAAGTCGCTAAATCTAATTCAACACATTAATGTAAATCAACCAAATGTTAATATTAATATTTTCCTTTTTTATATTTAGGGCGGCCACAATAGTTTTAAGAGAGAACAACTGCCACTTTCTGCGAGTAGACAAAGAAAACTTCAACAGAATTTTACGGGATGTTGAAGCGAATACTGTTCGACTTAAAGAACATGGAAAAGATGTTTTAATATTAGAAAAAATTAATGCAAATACGAAACAAGTATTTTCTTCCCATTATAAGTAAGTAATATTATTGTAATTCTACATAATATCTTATTCTCATTAAGTGGTCTCATTTTTCAGTGATGAATAATTCTTTGCGTTTGGTAGTTGGGTTTCAAAACATATAATAATAAATTCTGAGTTCTGAGTTATGTCGAATTTTCTTAAAATGTAAAACTTTAAACGAGGACTCATTCTTAATTTATTTAAGCAATTCTAGTAAAATTACTAATACATCTACATAGCTGGATATTGGTCGAATGTAATTCATGACTAATTATTAAACATTTATTTACAAGGTGTTTAAAATTTGTTGTTTCATTATTGAATTATTCAATGTGTAATATAAGGCTTATTTTTAATGGAACACCCTGTATATTAATGAATTATTAAATTTTAAAAAATTTCTCTTTTGAATGATATACAAATGTCCTATAACTAGGACTGATAGTTTTGCCGTAATTTTAAATTTTATTAAACAGAAATTTATTTCAAGTATTTATAATTATTGTTACTTTTCATTTTTAAACCCATCATATTGACATATTGTTATAGACGAAACCAGTGTAGTTGTAAATAAATTTTTTGAAAACAATTAAAATTTTTATGTCTTTGGATTTGTATTCGTTGGGAATAGGATAATTAGTATTAAAATATGATGAAAAGCAAATAAAAAAAAATTGTTGAAAATCTGATGTTTTTTCTACATTTCATCAACTGAAAGGCAACTGCGCAAAGGTTACGGTTTTAAAAATGACGTAGATATTAACGTTATGTTTAATTTTTTGTATTATTTTAAGTGTTAAAATAAGTTTAATATTTAAGTAAAAATAAAACTGTAAAATATATGTCTTTCGTTGGATTCATAATAATAATAACAATAATAATAATAATAATAATGGCAGGGTGTTGAGGAGGCGGGCCCCTGTCATACAATCAGCTACAGCCCAACAACAACAACAACCACAAGTGAGCCAAACAACAACAAGAGCTCCACTCGCTGAAGGTGCTGCGCTGGAACATCAGCCGGCGCTCACACAAGCGGGACGACCGAGGCAGCGCATGAAATGGACTATGTCTATAAATGAAAACATTTTGCGCTTCTATTACAAGGTGACGAACCTCGGTCGAGAAACGATCGGATATAGACAACAACTGTATGCCGAATTTTGCAGGGAGTATCCAGAGATTGAAGTATCTGAACAGCGAATAGCAGATCAATACCGGGTAATTATAAGAAATAATCTTATTCCAGAAGCTAGACGCGCTACCATTAGAAGCGAAGTCGAACGGGAGATTCATAACCAAGAGCTAGTTGTGGATCAAGACCATAATGAAATCCCAAATGAGCAGATTCCTGAGCCCCTTATACAAGACACTCAACCTGTTAATACCCAGCAGGACAACAACGAGTTGCACAATAGCCTGGTAAGAGAAATGGCACGTGCCATACAAGAGTTTAATGGTACAAACCCACTTAGCAGACCACCGCTACCAAGAATAAACTCTTGTAAGAAACTAGGTGCGCTGTTACAAATAATGAACACTGAAGTCCTACCCAATTATATCGTGGAAGCACATACATTAGAATATTTGCATATGCTGATTTACTGTGCAGCAACAGCAATTGCTAATGTTATGGGCATTAAGATCAGAACACGACGGGGAACTAATATCGGAAGGACTGAAAACAGAATTGCACCCTGGGAAAAAAGACTGCTGAGGAAAATTGAATTATTGCGCAGGGATATTGGGCAAATTACGGAATACATCCGAGGAGTAAGAAGTCGAAAACTAATTAAAAGAGCTGAAGAAATTATTCTGAACACTTCAAGACACTCACAACATGATCCAGAAAACAACACAGCTCAACACTGCCTAGACACATTAAAACAAAAACTCTCCGTTTATTCAGGTCGCTTAAGGAGATACAAAGTTAGTAACAACCGTAAATGCGACAATATACTTTTTGAGAATTCAGAGAAGGCTTTCTATAGGAAACTAAATTCCACTGTAGAAAATGTAAATAAATCCTACCCAAGCCAAGAAGAAATTCATGAGTTTTGGGGAAATCAACTTTCGACGCCAGCTACCCATAACAACAATGCTGGATGGATTGAAGACACGGAGAACAATTGTCAACACTATAGGAATATTCCTTATGAACCTTTTACCACTGAAGAAGTCTTGAACATCATAAGAGCTTCATAACTGGAAATCTCCTGGACCAGACGGAGTTCAAAACTTCTGGTTAAAGAAGTTTTGGAGTGTTCATGAGCTTTTAACAGTATTTATTAATAATATTATTTCTAATTTACAGGAAATACCATCATTTCTTACTCAGGGAACCACTTATCTAATACCGAAGGATCAAAATAACACCCAAGATCCAGCCAAGTACCGCCCAATTACTTGTCTTCCAACTTTGTACAAATTGGTCACATCCTGTGTGGCCCGGCGTATCTACCAACACTGTGCTCTGAACAATATCATAGAGCCCCAACAGAAAGGATGCGCTAAGGGCTCCATGGGATGCAAAGAACAACTTATTATCGACTCAGTCATTTCTAACCAGGCATACACCAAAAAACGAAACCTGTTTACTGCCTTCATTGACTACAAGAAGGCTTTTGACTCAGTGCCGCATGAATGGCTTATAGATATATTGAAAATATATAAAGTCGATGATAATCTCGTGACCTTTTTGAAGCATATAATGACAAAGTGGAAGACTAAAATTCACCTTCAAATACCTGGTGAAACCAATATCGAAACTGAAGATATCGCTATTAACCGGGGCCTTTTCCAGGGGGACTCGTTGAGTCCACTTTGGTTCTGCCTAGCGATGAACCCACTATCTCGGCTGCTGAACTCCACTGACTCAGGATTTAGCATCAAAAATAACAACACTGTTGTGGCGAAGCTTAATCATCTGTTGTATATGGATGATTTGAAACTAATGGCTTCCACACGAAATCACTTAGATCAGATGCTAAAAACTGTAGAAACTTTCTCAAATGATATCAGTATGCATTTTGGACTAGACAAGTGCCGTATACTTAATATAGTCAGAGGAAAGGTTCAGCCCGGAGGTTTCGATATGCAAGATGGCCAAAACATCGAGGCAATGGGTGAAAATGATATGTACAAATATCTCGGAGTAAAACAAGCGCGGAAAATTGACCATAAACAAATGAAAACAGAACTAACTTCGGAGTTCGTGAGAAGAGTAAGACAACTAAATCGGTCATATCTTAATAGTAAAAATTTGTTTAAGGCATTAAATACTTACGCCTGTTCCGTGCTGAGCTACTCATTTGGTATTATAAAGTGGTCAAAAACGGATATAGAGGGTCTTCAGCGGAAAGTAAGAACACTTCTCACAAAGGCGCAAAAACATCATCCACGTAGTGCAGTAGAGAGAACAACATTACCGCGGTATCAAGGGGGAAGAGGACTTATGGATATAGGTGAGCAATTAGATAAACAAATTGCTAATTTAAGATCTTATTTTCAGGTACAGGCTGAGACATCTACTTTACATCGAGCAATTTGCGCAGTAGATGATACAACGCCGCTTAAGCTGAGGGAACAAGTAATGCGCACAAACCATCTGACTCAGCAAGAAAAAATGCGCACCTGGATGAGTAAACCTCTGCATGGGCGACATCTCAATGAGATCAACCAAGAATATGTCGACAATACAGCGTCGAACTATTGGTTGACATCAGGAAAGATGTTTCCCGAGACTGAAGGTTTCCTACTTGCCATTCAGGATCAGGTTATTCCAACTAAAAATTACCTGAAATATATTGTTAAAGATCCTCAAGTCCAAAATGACAGATGCCGATATGGATGCCAAGCCCAAGAAACCATCCAACATCTTACCGGTGGCTGCCAGGCATTTGTCGGTACTGATTATAAAGAACGCCATGACTCAGTAGGAAAGATTATCCACCAAGAACTAGCTGATAAACTGGGACTTCTCCAAACCGACCATCTTCCTTATTATCAATACGCCCCTGATAGAATGCTTGAAAATGACAACTACAAGCTATACTGGGACCGCACTGTGCTTACAGACCAACCAGTGGCCCATAATAGACCGGATCTCATACTAGTTAATAAACTTACTAGACAAACAACACTTATTGATGTGGCGATACCCAACACCAATAATTTAGGTGTTAAATACAACGAAAAGATCGCCAAGTACAGAGATCTAGAAATACAAATCAGGAGACAATGGAGAATGGAAAGTACCCAGACACTACCTATTGTTTTATCTACTACTGGTGTTATTCCTAAAAACCTCATAGCGAACATAAAACAGCTGGGTCTAAATGAACATCTTTATAAGGCCATGCAGAAAGCTGTACTCCTCGCGACGTCCAGATGTGTAAGAAAATTCTTGGGAGATACTCCAACATACCAAGTCACCTAGGGCTCGATAACACGGAAAGAGTCCCACCAGAGCTCAATCCTTTTGATACCGTAGGTATCTGGGATGAGTGAATTTTCCCCTTAGAGGGAGTGTGAGCCGTATGGCTAAATCTGGGATAATAATAATAATGAACATCTTACCGGTGGCTGCCAGGCATTTGTCGGTACTGATTATAAAGAACGCCATGACTCAGTAGGAAAGATTATCCACCAAGAACTAGCTGACAAACTGGGACTTCTCCAAACCGACCATCTTCCTTATTATCAATATGTCCCTGACAGAATGCTTGAAAATGACAACTACAAGCTATACTGGGACCGCACTGTGCTCACAGACCAACCAGTGGCCCATAATAGACCGGATCTCATACTAGTGAATAAAATTACCAGGCAAACAACAGTTATTGATGTGGCGATACCTAACACTAACAATTTGCTTGTTAAATACAACGAAAAGATCGCCTAGTATAGAGATCTGGAAATACAAATCAAGAGACAATGGAGAATGGAAAGTACCCAGACAGTACCTATTGTTCTATCTACTACTGGTGTTATTCCCAAAAACCTCCTAGCGA